AATATGTAGATGTCAAGTCACATATCTAAAAGCCATTTGCTTATACTACTTTCTATTTATATTAAAATATAAATCTTATCTGATGAATACATAGAAAATGTTTCATTTGTAGGAAACTACGAAATCATTTGGATTTCTGGACCTTTACAATTGTCATTATAAGAATAAAAAATATATAAGAATAATGAAAAAGCTAGCTAATATTGACTAATATCTTAGTATATTACACAAAGTGCTAGGTAGTGATATATATTACTGCATTTACAAAAAAAAACAGAGTTTTTGGATTTTTTGTGTAATTTATGCACAAATGGCATAATTAATCAAGATATATATTCATCTGTAATTTTACTGCACACAAAATTGACTTCTACAGGAAAGGGAGCTGATACGTACTGTGGATTTACACAATAGCCCAACCTCCATGTTTCAGAGGGATTTACTTGATTTCTAGTTGTCCTCTAGTACACAGTAACTATTTGTTATTATGGCTTCTGGTAGAAATGATCCTAAGTAGAAAGTCAAATGCTTTTATTGCATTTTACAAAATTAATTTCCATCCTAAAGTGCTATTCTGCAGTTTGGGAATTTGTGAGGGTCTCCGTATCTGTTTTACTATGTGTCAGGTTGTCAGAGAGAAACCTGAGTACATTGTGACAAATTAATGTTTTGTCTGAAAGTTTAAATGTTTAAAGCACTCTCCCATAAAATAAACTGTTATAAATACATAGCTAAAATGAACCTAAAGCCTTTCCTCTAAGGCTTCAGCCTAAGGAAACTAGCACACAACTATACCCGGGGAACTTGGTTGACTCTTTTTCTGCAGCAAGATATGTATTTCACAGCACATATCTGAAAGCTATTTGCAGTTCATAGTTCCTACCCTGTAATGTTGGGATTTTCTCATCAATCTCCTCCTAGAGATTAAATTACATACATTCTTAGTATTTATGATCAAACTAATGAGATTTCCTCCTTCAGGACTGCAGATTATTTTTCTCCTCATTTCAAGAGATAATCTAATAATTTAATATCATAATTATGCTTCCCCTTTGCCCTCCCTAGCTCAGATGCAGATTCCCTCCCAAATTCATTTTTAAACTCTGATTTAGTAACTACTGCACAGCCAAAATAAAATGAACTTCTCTTTACTCATTCAGCTGCATGTTCCCAGACCAAATGCTCATTTAGAATCATGACTAGTTGTTATGATTCATAAAGAAATCTGTTGGTCTTCTGCCTTTTTCAACCCAACTGAATTACATTTTACCTCATTTCTGAATTTTAGCTCCAGAATATATTTGATGGATAGTTGAAGCAAATTTGGCTGCAGTCATGCTGTATAACTATGTTTAATACATGCTTCCTTTTTCTTACCAATGGAATGTATATTAACAGATACGGCAGCAATGAGTTCCCCCAAATCTCTGCGACAATCTACAGAAAACAGAAGAGATGGCTAGAATGGAAATTAAAAGGTTGAAGAGAGGATATCCTGTCTCCTCTTTCTTGAAGACAATGCCAAGTTTGTGGCAAGGCTCTGTCTCAAGGGGCATTCTACATAGAAATTTTTGTTAAATTTATTTAATAGGCCTAGAAGGGAAATTATCAGGGAAAATGATATCAGGATCTTTATAACTGTGTTCTATTCCAGATAAACCACTAACCCACTACTTTGTAGATACAGTCAAAGGGTTTTGTAATGTAAATATTATCTGTAGCAAATAGGAAGAAACTTGCTTTATTTAATCCATTATACACTGGTGAAGGTTTGGAGTATTTGACCTGTGAGCACAGTTAGAATTTTTCTTTTTTTTTTTTTTTTGATGGAGTTTCAGTCTGTCACCCAGGCTGGAGTTCAGTGGCGAAATCTTGACTCGCTATAACCTCCGTCTCCTGGGTTCAAGCGATGCTCATGCCTCAGTCACCTGAGTAGCTGACATTATAGGCGCATGCCACCACACCCAGCTAATTTGTGTATTTTTGGTAGAGACAAGGTTTTGCCATGTTGGCCAGGCTGGTCTTGAACTCCTGGGCTTACGTGATCCAAAAGTGCTGGCATTACAGGTGTGAGCCACCATGACCGGCCGGGTTAGAAAAAATTACAATGGTTATATTTTAACCTGAATCTTCAAAAGCTTATTTCTGTATACAAAATAAATACACAACAATTATAGAACATTTAGAAATGCAAAACAAAGGAAAAGGAGAAACTATCCATAATTCTGTCTAACCAATTATATAATTGGCCCCTACCACGCACATTTTTGGTCACTGGAAGGTTGAACAAGCAAGATTCATGTAATGTACCAAAAGCAATAGAACTTTGTTTCCCATTGCCCTTTTAAAAATATTCATACAGGTTCATTTTTCCTGAAACATCTACATAAAAGTTGGACTGTCCTACTATTACTCTGACTATTGTTAATAATAAAAGTCCTATAATCGATTTGAGTTAGTAGTCTTAAATAAGTAATTAGGTTTCCTAGCCTCATCATGATCAAAATTCTACTCTTACTCTTGATTTAAAATTGTATATTCTTACCCCTCCAGCAGCTCAGGTCTCCTTTTGGGGAAAGGGATGTGGTCTGTTATTTCCTTCCGCATGTATTAACTATACTCTCACCTATCTGTTGTTGGACAAGGGTTAGAAATTAGAGACTCAGTGGGTAGGATTTTTCTTATGTTACTGTGCTTGTCCTACAGGAGCTTCACATGTTCTGGGGCTCACAGATGTTTAAAGCTACCTTTGGATCTCCTGGGCATTTGTGAATTAACTGAAGCAGTACCTACTGCAATTTACTTGATCTAGACAAACGGCACTTTAATCTGGCTGGTCACTGTCTAATGAGTCACCATTGCAAGTGGCAATTTTAGTACAGGCGTGAAGGCAGACCACACTGGCTCTGTGTCACATGTGCTTATGACTGACCCATGGGAAACGCATGTATACTTTTCTGCTCCCAGTTCACGGGATGCAGGCCAATCTCAACACACATAATTTTTTTTGTATTTATTTATTAAATGCTTAGCAAACCCATCCCTTACCTTTAGGCTTCTCAAATAAAATCAGACACCATTCTACCATGTCCCCCACATTGCAGGGGACATATATTAAGCCCTCCATGTGGTTCCATTGAAGCCCCAGTCACCAGGCATGCAGTGGAACTTACCATAAATCTCTCCAAAATCCCTCTTCGTAAAATCCTCTCCCCACAGTCTCCAAACTTTTTCTACCTCAGATATGAGTGACAGGTTTAATAGTCTAACCTATTTTTAATTATTTCCTTTAAAATATTGATGTTTGGTAGCTAACTTTGAAATGTTCACTTTTCTTTATCAGGGAATCCTAACTAAAAATTCTAATTTAACCTCTTAATTCTCTATTGATATATTCTAGCTCCCCCCACTCCAGCCCCCCTCCCACACAAGTATACATACACATTCAAGACTTGGCATCTGAAATGAGACTGCCTCAGTTGAAAGCCTGACTGTTTCACTTAACTAGCTCTTTGTCTTTGAGCCAGTCACTTTTTCTTTTTGTGTCTTACTTCATTTATAATCTGAAGATAATAATAGTCCCTATCTCAAAAATATGATTATTTTGAAGATTAATATGATAATACATTTTTTAAATACTTAGAAAATTTCTAGCACATGTCATTAATAATGTTACCTTCATAGGCAATAATAAAGTCATTAGTATTATAATTATTATAAATGTTCTCTTGATCTCTTGTTTGATTTATGAGGATTTTTACACGTCATTAAATATTCTCCTTTACATCAAATTGTTATACCATATTCAGCTGTATAACGGCAGCATGATTTTCAAACACTAAACTGGATGTATATATCATTTCTAATATTTTGTCACATCATTGGTTATCACTATGTTTATCACCTCTGTGTTCCCGCCCTCCACCCCAACCCCAACCTTAGAATACATTGATTGAACAGGAATTTCTGGGTCAAAATATGATTATTTTAAGGCATTTAATACATATTAAAATTTATCCAGCAAAAATTAAAAATTTAATATCACTGTATATTCTGTTTTCAAGAGTATCTTAAAATTCTGGCCTGTCTAATCTACTATTAAACACTGACTTAAGGATAAGAGTATTATTGGAAGATAATAAAAAAAAAAAAACAGACATAGGATGTTCTCTAGTTTCCTAATAGAGTGTGCCAAGAGATTCCTGGAAATGCTTTTGGACCTGGGAATTAGCAAAGCTCATTTAAGGTTGAATGAGGAGAAATCCAATATATCTTCAGAACCAGAGAGTTCTGCTGACATAACTACACTAACCTTTTTTTTTTTTAATAGAAAAAGGAAATGAAGTGAGAATTAGCAGTAGTGGCTATCTACTGTGGTGGTTCATCATCAGAAACTTAGATTGAGCTGCTTTAATTATGTAAATGTATCTGTGGATAAGTGTCAATAAACTTCCATCCAAATAAAATAAATCAAAATTCTGCTTCTCTTAGCATATTCTATTTTAATTAAAATCCTGATCACAGCTAGTAACCGTAGTTATACAGTTGACAAAATAATCACTAAAGGGTGTAAATCATCTAGATACTTGTCTAACATAGAGGACATGATAATTAGTCCACCTGATAATAGAAGTTTCACATATGTCATAAGATGAAGATAACGTGTTTCTCGTTTTTCACTATTCCAGATAGGTACCATTATGAAGAGTATGCCAATTTTATTAAGGTCCCACAAACTCAATGTTACCTGACTTAAGGTATTTTCTCGCTAAAGAAATAAGAGCATAAATATATTTTTCTTATGTATCTTAATTTAAAATGTTCTACTGTGGAAAAGCCATCTTTCTGTGATACTCTCTGCCTCTCTCTCTTTCTCTCCCCTTCTCTCTCTCTCACACACCTATATGCACACACACACTCCACATTCACAAAGGCATATAATTCCAACAAAACCAGGTAAAATATTCACCCAACCACTGAATAACAGCCATTGGACCAACCTTATAAAGCAGTGGCAATTTTCCTAATTTCAGGAGTGCGATCTGATTTGTTACATTTTTTATTTTCCTAATCCTTTTTAAATCATCTGCCATTCCATAACTCACATCGATGACTTCAGCCTAAAAGAGGAGAAAAAAACAAAGAAAAATAAAGTCTCGGAGGAAGAAGTATAGCCAATTGTCCATTTAGTATAACAAAATTATTCATAATAATTTGAAATGTTCAATATAGAATTAATTCTGTCTCTTACCCTGTCCCAATTACTATAAACATGACCTTTCTATTTCCATCAAGGTACAACAATTCTTCTGGGCACCTGAGAAAATGTGAGTCATTTTTGCTTTGTTCTCTCTCTTCTAAAAAATGACAAACACAGTTCATTCTTCTAACAGACATTTGGAATATTCTACATTCATGTTTCTGGAATACGAGCCATTTTACAAAACACTGAAAGATTAATTTCCTTAAGGTCCAACAGCAGTTATATAATTCTCAGGCCTGAAAGAAAATTCAAATGTTTTCTATTGCTATCCAAATTAAATGCAGCATCCTCACTCGCATGGTCATCCTGAACAGCTGCTCATGATGCTCTGTTCAAGATTGTGCCATAGCCAGCTGTGAATGACAAATTCTTGAGTCATGCAGAATACAACCTGTTCAACCACATGTGCCAGTCTAGCAGCCCAGGCCTCAGATTATCATTTCTGTCACATTTTGCACTGCTCACCTGGAGTTACATTTGACCTCAATGTTACTCATTTTTATAAGTCCTCTTGTATTAATGACAAAAAGAAAGAATCTCATACCTTTCTGGAGATTCCAATCAAAACCTTCTCATGTAGTGAACCCTTCCCTTCTCCTTAGAAAGCACTGAACTGCAAATTCATATATTCCTATGAGCCAGTATGACTGATTTTAGCTTTACTTTCTGTAATATCTATTTATTATTAAAACAATAGTTGTCATGCTTTCCAAGGATTATATTATAACATAAATCTGCTATTTCAAATTGTAGCATATATCCACAGAGAGGCTGATTAAAAAAAAAAAACAGTTAGTTGTGGCAAATCATGAAAAAAATAAAGATGGAGAATCCAGATCTCGCGCTTTCCATCCTTCTTGATTGAAACTAATGCACTTCAACAAGTTTTACATGTAATACTTCCATAAAAGATTCATCTGAAGAAAGAGCATTGTTTCTCTAGGAACATATGAATACCTCCAAGAGACTGGCAAATCTGCTAGAGAAAATATTTCCGGCATGAAATATTTCTTTAGTCATCACATTCATCTGTATCTGTAAAAACTCTATGAATACATTAACGTTCATTTCAAATGTCACCTACCTGATGAATTTTATTTATCTGTTGCCCACATATGACCTCTCTCTACTTTGGCTCCCAGAGTAATCTGTTTTTGCCTCTCTTAAGGCCCTCACTAGACATGTCTGCCAGTTTCAGTTTCCAATACAGGGAAATTCCTTGGTGAAGAGCCCACTACATACCCATGCTCACCCCGGTGTCCAGCATATGCTATGGACTCAGTAGGTGTTGAATCAAAATGATTACAGCTCATAAAATATCTCTAAAAAGTTAAGCGGCACTTTCAAATGGATTTGCCAGGGAAATGTAATTGTTAAAAACACTTCTGTCAGAATGATTTTTCATTATAATTTTATTCCTATTAAAAATGATTAAATCAGTGCCTTTAATACATTTTTTAGTTTGCTGATACCATTACCATATAAATAACTGTTGATATATGATTTTAAAAGTCTGATTAAGTAAAGGATCACAAAATATTAATGATTACATTGCAAAAGTGAGAAAAATTTCTATTTTTCATTTCATTTCTAAGCTACCTACTAATTATTTGTGATTCACTGACAGCGTCTTATAATAAGGCTATTACTCAATTGATTATGTAAAAGAACTTTTTTTTATATGTAGTAGAGTTTATGGAAAACCTTACTTGTTTTGGGGGATATAGATCAGATTGTGTATACAGGCATACATCAGAGATATTGCAAGTTCAGTTCCATACTACCACAATAAAGCAAATATTGCAATAAAGTGAATCACACAAATTTTGCGGTTTTCCAATACATATAATAATGTTCACACTATATTGTAATCTATTAAGTGTGCAATAGCATTATGTCTAAAACAAAATATCATACCTTAATTTAAAAATACTTTATTAATCTGAGCTTTCAGTACATTTTTATATTTTTGCTAGTGAAATGTCTTGCCTCAATGTTGGTGGCTGCTAACTGATCAGGGTCACAGTTGCTGAAGGTTAGGGTGGCTTTGGTAATTTCTTAAAAGAAGACAACAGTGAAGTTTGCCACATCGACTGACTCTTCCTTTCATAAAATATTTCTCCATATCTCTCATGACATGGTGTTTGATAGCATTTTACCCAAAGTAGAACTTCTTTAAAATTGCAGTCAATTATCTCAAAAACCCTACTGCTGTGTTAATGAACTCAGTTTATTTAGTATTCTAAAGCCTTTGTTGTCATTTCAACAATGTTTCTGGGAATTGGAAAGATAGGGTCTAGAAGTAGATTCCACCTCAAGAAACCACTTCCTTTGTTCATCCATAAGAAATAACTCTTCATCCATTCAAGTTTCATCATGACATTGCAACAATTTAGTCACATCTTCAGGTTCAACTTCAAATTCTAGTTTTCTTGCTATTTCCACCACCTCTGTAGTTACCTCCTTAAAATTTTGAACCCCTCAAACTGATCCATAAGGGATAAAACCAATTTCTTTCAAACTCCCGTTAATGCTGATACTTTGACCTGCTCTCATGAATCACAAATGTGGCTAATGGCATTTAGGATGGTGTATCCTTTCCAAAAAGTTTTCCATATACTTTCTCAGATTTATCAGTGGAATCACTATCTGGGGAAGCTACAATCTTCCAGATATATTTCTTAAATAATAAGACTTGAACGTTGAAATTACTCCATAATCTAAGGGCTGCAGAATGGATGTTGTGTTAGTGGCTTTGAAAACAACATTAACCTCCTGTACATCACCATCAGAGCTCTTGGGTGACAAGGTACATTGTCAAAGAGCAATAATATTTTGCAAGGAATCTTTTTTTTCTGAGCAGTAGGTCTCCATAGTGAGTTTGAACATTATTATTCAGTATTCCATGTATAAACATATTTGCTGTTATCTGGTCTTCGTTATTCCATTTCTAAAGCACAGCACGGTAGACTTAGCGTAGTTTTTAAGGGCCCAAGCATTTTTAGAATGGTAAATGAGCACTGGCTTCAACTTCAAGTCACCAGCAGCATTAGATCCTAACAAGGGTCAGCCTCACCTTTGGAGCTTGGAAGCCTGGCCTAGACGTCTTCTCTCTAGCTATGAATGTATTAGATGACATCTTCATCCAACCTAAGGCTGTTTCGTCTACATGGAAAATCTGTTGTTTAGTGTAGCTACTTTCATTAGTACCTTAACTAGGTCTTACAGATAACTCGCTGCGGCTTCTATATTAGAACTTGCTGATTCACCCTGCACTTTTGTGTCATGGAGATGACTTATTTTCTTAAACCTCATGAATCAACCTCTGTTCGCTTCAAACTTTTCTTCTGCAGCTTCCTCATCCCTTGCAGCTTTCACACAACTGAAAAGAGTTAGGGCTTGCTGTGGCTTAGGCTTTGGATAAAGAAAGTGTTGTGGTTTGTTTGATCTTCTATTCCGATCACTCAGACTTTCTCCATATCAGCAATAGGACTGTTTTGCTCTCTAATTATTCATGTGTTAATTGGAGTGGCATTTTTAATTGCCTCCAAGAACTTTTCCTTAGCATTCACAACTTAGCTGTTTGACACAAGGGACCCAGCTTGTGGCCTATCTTGGCTTTTGACCTGCCTTGCTTATTAAGCTTAATCATTTCTTTTTATTGAAAGTGAGAGACATGTAACTCTTCTTTTCACTTAGAGGTCATTGTAGGATTCTTAATTGGTTGCATTTCAATATTGTTTTGTTTCAGGGAATAGGGAGGCCCAGGAGAGGGAGGGAGATGGCAAATGGCTGGTGGATACAGCAGTCAGAACACACATAAATAATATTGATTGAATCAGTTTGCTTATATGGGTACATTTCTTGGTGTCTCAAAATAAGAACAATGGACAATGGTAACATCACAGATCACTGATCACAGATAACCCTAGCACATATAACCATAATGAAAAAGATTGGAATATTGCAGGAATTAGCAAAAACTGAAATAGAGATGTGAGCTGAGCACAGGTGCTGAAAAAATGGCACCAGTAGACTTGCTAAATGCAGGGTTGCCATGACCTTCAATTTGTTGAAAACACAGTATCTGTGAAGCACCCTAAAGTGAAGCACAATAAATCCAGATATGCCTGTATAACAGAAAGGTATGACAGTTACAAAAATACCAATTCTTCAAAAGACATTAACATTATTGGAACATATCAATAGGCTGAGTCAACAATTTTAATTAAATAGCTCTTCAACTCATCTTCTCTAAATAGTACATGTTAATAAATCAAAGTGTTTCAGCATGTAAGAGGATTTTAGGTTTTCCCACAAAAAAATATTTCTCAATACAGACAACATTATATCAATTTATATTGGCTTATGCATTAAAAATCAATAATTACAGAAGTCTCAATGTTTTGATGGATTTGCAGGCAATAATAAAAATGTATCCATTGCCGGCCGGGCGCGGTGGCTCACGCCTGTAATCCCAGCACTTTGGAAGGCCGAGGCGGGCGGATCACAAGGTCAGGAGATCGAGACCATGGTGAAACCGCGTCTCTACTAAAAATAGAAAAAATTAGCCGGGCGCAGTGGCGGGCGCCTGTAGCCCCAGCTACTCGGGAGGCTGAGGCCAGAGAATGGCGTGAACCCGGGAGGCGGAGCTTGCAGTGAGCCGAGATTGCGCCACTGCACTCCAGCCTGGGCGACAGAGCGAGACTCCGTCTCAAAAAAAAAAAAAAAAAAAAAAAAAAAAAAAAAAAAAAAAAAAAATGTATCCATTGCTTTCAAAGCAAGCCTTAAAACTAGATCCTTTTTGAAAGTCTTTTCTATCTACTTTCAAGCAAACTGAACATCACAGCTGTAAGA